CTCCTCTCTCCTCTCTGTTTGAATAAAACATGGCAGCATCAGTCTTGAGACACTCAGACGTCTCAGTCCCACTGATGTGAAAGTAGACGGTGTTTTCTATTTCCTGTCTGTTCTGAGTCACTCGCTGCCTTCAACATGCTCAGAGTTTCTTGCAGGTTTTGTCTGTTTTTAGCCTTTTTTCTGCTGCACGGCACATTTTTCTCCAGGAGCTCAGAAAGCTTCACAGAAACCTGGAATCTTCCCGTGTTTCAAAGGAACCAGAATGTCTTCTCTGTTATACAGTTTGTAGTGAATGTTGCTGACTCATCGGACATCATTTAGGCTCTCGGGGTAAATGAACACTCGTACTAGAATCAGAGAGAGTAGACATACAAACGAAGACGGTTGTTTCATTTCACAGCTCATAGATGTGATTTCTGTCCACGTTAGGAAATTAAATCATCTTTTGAAAACTACATTATCTTTAAAAAACAGTCTGCACCTTCTGCAGACTTTAAACAAGTTAGTATTTTGCCAGTGAGAGGTCAGAATGTTTCCAGTTAAATGTGTTTTAATTCAATTAGATTTATTAGAATACCATCTAGAATATGATTCATGTGATCCAACAACTGGACTAACTTTCTGAGCATTGAAGACATTTTCTGTCTCTCTTACATTGATGTTTCTCATGATTAGAACATTAATGTTTGAAACGTATTTGTACTGTACTCATTAACATGATATATTATACCGATAATATGAACCTGCACCTGAACGTCTTTGTGTCAAACAGCCCTCTGAAGAGCTGAGAACAGCTTTAATAATCTGTCTTTGGTCCTCACAAAGATAGAAGTTAAGAAACACACAAACACAAACATTCTGTTTGTGTTCAGATTACACAATTCTGCTTTGTAACGTGTGCGTGTGTGTGTGTGTGTGTGTGTGTGTGTGTGTGTGTGTGTGTGTGTGTGTGAGAGAGAAACAGACAGCTGTATCATTGTTGTGTGACTGATGTCATTGTTTGTATCTCTCTGTGTGTGTGTGTGTGTGTGTGTGTGTGTGTTTGATCCACTTATCAGCTGATGCTTCTGTCTAAATCCTCTGAACTAAACTCTGCTTTGTTTTTGCTGAATTTAACATAAACACACCAATATTTCTCTCTTTAATTGTAACGTAACAGCAGACTGAGGATCAGTGTTTTGCTGCAGTCGCCTGTTCATGTGTACACCGCTAGAGGTCAGCAGAAACGAGACCTGAAGTTACTCTCAGTAGAAGTTCAGCTGGTGGCTCCCTCTGGTGGCGAGAACACCTCATAACATGCTGCAAACCACCACGACGTGAACGAAATGTTTCCACTTTATAATAAACATTGTAGGAATAAGTATCAACAACAACATATGTAAGCAAATGTACATTTACTTTAACTTCTGCAATAAAGTATAAAACAGAAGGTGAAACAAAACAGAAAGAAAAGTTGTAAAAAAACTATTTTTTAGTTATTTTTAATAAAAAATATGATTTTTATTACTTCATTTTCAAACATATTTTTGTGTTATTTATTTTCAGAATATTCACCCAAAATAAATTTGAATAGATGAATAAGAAAACAATAATACAGTTCCATAATCTTACTTCTTTTAAAAAGCACAAACTCTGACTGTAAAAGCTTTTCAGCCCTGATAAATAAATAAATAAATATATATATCAAATAAATTCATCCAATCACCAGTCTTTATTCTCAGTGTTGTCTTGACAACAATCACGTCTTCTTTCCATCCTATTTTTTGAGGTTTTGGCAGCTCGTCAACAGACACAAAAGAGGACAATAAGGTGTGTGTGTGTGTGTGTGTGTGTGTGTGTGTGTGTGTAGCTGCTTTTTGTTCGGCCTTAGCTGGAAGGCAGAGACACAAACAGATGTGACGTCCTCTTGTTTTTGTTCACGCTGATGTTTCCTCGACTCCTCCGTCACTTTGTGTTTGTGTCACATGTGAGGAAATGCTCACAGAGTTCAACCAGAGTTCAACCAGAGTTCAACCAGCATCAATCAGCCCGAGAATGAGACGGGAAATCTAAATGCCACTGAAACAAACGTCCTTTCAGTCTGTTTCTATTGAAGAAAAGAGAAGCTTGTTAGAGATGTGTTTAAGGGTTTTATAAGCTTTTAATATATAAACACAACTGAGTCTTTTATTTTTCCTGCCTTGACATTTTTAAACCTTTTCCTTCATTTTTCCTACTTTGCACTTTGCAAAACAAGGAAAAAAACTTGAAAACGACATGTTTTACAGTTTAACTTTTCAACGTTATAATTCATAATTCCTCATCTTTTAATCTTTTTAATCACTCGGCTTCAGTTTTAGTTTCATAAATATTCATGAGCAGTGAAGAGCAGGACAGGTGGATGCTGGTGAGCATCATCTTCATCACTGAAGGACTCTTTCTCTGGTTGATGGCTCCATCCAGTGGTGAAACATCTGCATTACAACAAACTGAACACCCTTCTTCTCCACAGCGGACAGTCTGACACGTTCAATAACATGAATGAGGCTGCGTTCCATTTAGGGGATTAATGGCTCACTGAAGTAGTTTACTGTCACACTTAATGGCACAATGTACATGTATGTATGTATATGCATATATGTATGTGTGTATACATATATGTATACAATATAAATGTGTGTGTGTGTGTAACACACTGGTATGGAATCAGTTCTTCTGAATGGACGATGGACCATCAGACCATCTCTAGCACTGACTCCAGATCTGTTCGTAACACAAACACATGAGAGTGATCCTTCCTCTCATCCTCTCACTTCATTCCCCATCATGTTGAACTCTTCTTCTACCTTTTTATGTTGTTGTTAAAGGCTTGAGTTCAGTCTGAACTGATCTTTGTATGTTGTGTTGCTTTATTTAACAGATACAGTCGGTTCAGACACCTGGGAGGGAGGGAGTGAGGGAGTGAATGAGTGAGTGAGGAGTGAGTGAGGAGTGAGGGAGTCAGTGAGTGAGAAGGGAGTGAGGAGGGAGTGAGTGAGTGAGGAGTGAGTGAGGAGTGAGGAGTGAGTGAGGAGTGAGGGAGTCAGTGAGTGAGAAGGGAGTGAGTGAGTGAGGAGGGAGTGAGTGAGTGAGTGAGGAGGGAGTGAGTGAGTGGGGAGGGAGGGAGTGAGTGAGTGAGGAGTGAGTGAGGAGTGGGTAGTGAGTGAGTGAGGAGTGGGTAGTGAGTGAGTGAGGAGGGAGTGAGTGA